CTCTAGAAAATGAATTTTGTGCGATTTCCAGGTAGAAGTGCTCTCACTTGATGACTTTTTCTTTGTTTGTGTATTTGACTGTCTATCTATCTTTGGACCAAAATTTATGTGCATGGAATTATGATGCTTTGCATACATTTATAAACATGCTGGCTCTCTAGGTATTGATGTTGATTTCATCTTGGCTAAGGCTTTACTTGAAAAAATGGAACTGTCATCTGTTGTGCTGGGTTTTTATTTTTTACAACAGTATGAAAAGGAAGGCATTATCAGACTTAATATCAGAGCTCTATCTCTGATTAGTAGATGTTACTTTGTGTATGAATTCTCATCCATGTGCCTGTATTTGGTTATGAAGTTTGAGCATTCACTTGCTCCAAGTAGTGAATTCTCTTCATATCATGAGAATGGAGTGATGCATGTCCTGTTACTGAGGTATATTCTTGTGTGATCACTTTAAGGGTGCTGGGGCCTTTGAAGTTGCAGCTCGACAATACCTGATCAACGAAGTGAAGAAAACTGTTAAAGGGGTACGTGCTCAGTGTATTGCTGTCTAAATACCTCTGCAAGATATATTCAGGTGCTGTATATTTCTAATTTGTGTATATCTTCTGACTTACTTTGGCCTATGGCAAATTATCTGTTAAGCGTGCCCAACTTGGTGTGGAAGCTTTTGCTAATGCCCTCCTTGTGATACCAAAAACACTTGCTGAGAACTCTGGCCTTGATACTCAAGATGTGATTATAGCGCTGACGGTATTTGAATTAGTCTCTTGCTCTATGTTCATGAATGCAACAATAATTAATTCAATTATCATCTTGACATCTCATCTTTTGCAGGGAGAGCATGACAAGGGAAACATTGTTGGACTAAATCAGCACACTGGTGAACCTATAGATCCCCAAATGGAGGGGATATTTGACAATTATGCTGTTAAGCGTCAGATTGTGAATTCTGGGTATGTGATTACTTATTACTTGTAATGTTCTGCTGTATGAGCATGTGATGATTCATGTTTCAATGTCTATACTCTTTGTGAAATCTTCTTTCTGTGAGCATGAGAGTTTGATATTTGTTGTTATTTGCTTTTGGTTTTCTTTTTCCTTTTCCCATTTAAATTTGCCAACCCTACAAAAGGTGAGTTTCTGTTGTATTGCACCTGATCAATAATCTATTTTTCCTTTGCAGCCCTGTCATAGCATCTCAGCTGCTACTTGTTGACGAAGTAATTCGTGCAGGACGTAATATGCGGAAACCAACTTAGCTTTCCTTTCATGCACATCTAATATCCGTAGGACAGTGATTTCCCATTTCCTTTTTTCATGGTGTTCATTTGGTGTTTCTTGGTGAAAGAATGAAATTAGAAAGAAGATGGGGAGGCCGAATGGATGGTTGTCTGATAAGTGAGCGTTATTTTTTGCTTGGGTTTGCATATAGGACTATATCTCCACTGACTGGCCAAACGAATGAAAGATTGTGAATTTCATTTTCATGGTGGTGGAGGGTTTTGTTCATCAGTTGCCTATTTTAGCATGTTTTCTATTCCACAATTAGAACCATTATTATACTTGTATTTCTCCTCTAAATCATATCTAAAATATGTTTCAATCAATCAACTCTTTTTCAAATCCAAATTAGTGATTGTATGAGTCCTCTGTATTTGTTGTGTTCTTTTGAGGTTCATTCCTTCCATGTTAAAGGTCAGGAGTTTGGAAGTTGCAATTCAGGCCATCAATTAGACCAAATTAAGTTAGTTACGATGATTAGGTTATAATATCAGGTAAGAATGTAGGCTAATTTTCCAAGGCGAATAAGTCACAAATGTTAGTGCGTGACCATAAATTCATGGAATAGACATTCTCAGTGGGATTGAATTTTACTTTTGATCCTTTTGTCGTCTTCTAGTGACATTGACATTTTGTTTGGTGTTGATGCACACTTCATGGATAGCAATATAGAAGTTTGTTCACTATTATGTAGGTTTGGTTTGTCATTTTAATGTTTAATCCATGTGTGATTTAATTGCAAGTCGGCAACAAAAGAAAATAATTCTGGAGTTAATACAGGTCTCCAAACAGGCCCTACTTAGACTCTTAAAACTAGGAGTAACTTTGGCATTTGTTCCCCTACCCCTCCCACAACAAGAAAGGGATGGGAAAGGTCAACTCTTTTGTCTTCAGCAAAAATATAATCTTATCGAAAGGTATAGGAGATTTGAAAACGGATGGTCAACGTTGACATTGTAGGATTGTTAGCCCACTCAATACACATGCATCTCTATTTGAATGGGATAAGTTCCACTATATTATTATGTATGTATATTCGCACATGGCAGAATAATTTTGTGAACCACCCAATTCACATTTGACAAAGCTGACCCCTTATCTACAGTAACATAGATAGATAAATGAGAAGAGATCAAGTTCATTTTTTTTGGTGCATATGTTGGAGACTAGTTAGTAGACTCTACTTTTCCTAGCGTGTTACTGAATTGGCACTCACTAAATATGAAGATTGGCTTAAGCCAATAACCTTTAAAAAAATTGAGTAGGTCCCAAGCAGAAGATTTTATTCTAATAAACATGTAATGTGTGCTGGCTGCTGCTGGAATCACAAAGAGACTTAAAGGATGTGCCGTGTGCGGTTATGCCATGCATCAAAAAAGTACAATCCAACTATCAAATGTGATCTTTTCACTTCTTATTCTATCTTTTTAAATATGATAGAAATTTTCAAATAATTCTTGGTAAGGAGTGATTTTCCTATAAATGGATCTTATGAGCCACGAATCTGAATTAGTTGGTTTAGTGAAATTCAGATACCAGATAGTTGTAAAAACTTTTCCAGTAAGGAACTCTTAGCAAGTATAAAGGTCACAAAACTTTAAGATTCTACATATTAGTTTACAATCGACCCTCAAGTACGTACCTATCGTTATGATATATATATCTTAAAATATTTGCAACTTATTCCTTTTTGACTAACTCATCACTTGTCCCTATTGCATAGTTGCATGCTTGTATCTCTAAGGATAAATAAGGTTTTTTTTTTGTCATCCTTAGCTTTTCATCTTTTAGTCATCTTTGCAGTTGTCACGCTTTTTATATGCGCTCTCAGTTTATACTCTCAGTGCAATTTAATTAGTTGGATATATCATATTAGAATCTTGTTACTATCTTATCAAATTTGTTATGAAAAGTTATTTGTTATCGTAAATCAAATCAAGCTAGTCGTGAATTATGCATCATATGTGCATAAAACTTAATTGTTCTTTTTCCCATTCCTTTTAACTTGTCAGGTTTACTATTTTGTATTTTATGTTTAACGGTACAAATTAAAAATGATGGATGATCTTCTGGCTTATGCAATCCTTTCATGATGAACTAGTTTTGAATTGAGTTAGACCAAAGATTCATTTCTTTACGGATTAACGTTACCTTATGGTTGAGATCAAGTCCAAATGCAAGTGGGGAATTTTGAAAAAATACACTCCATGAAATAGATAGGCTTTTGTTTTCGTTTTCTTTCCTTTTTCTCTTTGGGTGGCCTGGGGGTGTTTAATCGAAGGTTCTTGACCTCTTAGCTTTTTCCAAAGTTTTTTAAAAAAAATCTATTTATCTTTTCTTTAATTTAACTTCAATTTGGATTAGAAAACATTTTTGTTCTCATCAGTTATTTTTGTTTTATGGAATAGACATAAGAATCAAATATTATAAACGATATATAATATTCATAATAATAATAATAATAATAAAATTAAGTGAAGAAAAACTAGTTCCAAATCTATAAAATAAAAAAAAACAGAACAATGAAATACTATAAACGCTTAATCATATAATATTTCTAGCTAGAAAGGTATAAGTCAAAATGCTCTTTTGAAAAGATCCAGTTTTACCTATTTGCGTGACATGCTTGACTGCTTGTATGATTTTTTAAAAGATTATCGGGTCGGAGCTAAATATGTAATTTTCAAATTATATATTTAGGATGTTTGCATTGAAATCTACTTAAAGAACTAAGCACGTGATCTTTTTAATAAATACTATATATATTTATTTCGTCTAAAAAATTAAGTTATGATCATAACAAAATGTGTGATTATTTCATTTTTTTTTTTTTTATCTGTTAAATAGAAATTAGTCCAAGTTCTAGGAATAACTTTAATTAAGCCTTTAGAATTTAGATACGTGTACCTCTTTTACAAAACCGAAGAATATATTACGACTACATGCCGACATACTTTAGGCGCACGGTAATTCATCCATAGTATTTATTCCATATCTCTGACCAAAGAAAATATTATGATAATATATATACATTTATGCAATTTAATTTGTCATAGCAACTACTCGTGTTTACTTATTTTTGTGTTTATCAAATATGTTTGTTCTAAATAGTTATTACTCCCTCCGTACCATATTAGATGCACGTCATATTTTAAAAAAAGAATTGCTTATATTACTTGGTCATTTACTAAATTAGGATAGAATTAATTAAATTTTTGCCCTATAATTAATATGATCTTCGGAAGTTTAAACAAGTTTTGAAGATCTAAGAATTTTTTTTCAAGAAACTAATTAATATGAACTAAGGGCAAAATAGTAAAATTGATCAATCTACTAATAATTTTTTAATCACCGTGCGAAATAGAAAGTGTCCATCAAATATGAGATGGATGTTGTACATGTTATTGTACTTTAATGGTGTTCAATAAGATAGTGTTTTTTTTCTCTTCGGTATTCAATATTCATTTTAGGAATTGATTAATCTGAATTTGCATTGAGAAATCCTACTGGAAGGTAGAACACTCTAATTGACCAAAAAAAATTCTATATTGTGCCAAAGGATCTATCACTTTTCTTATTCACTTTTTACGTAGTTGTGCCTTTGGGGGTATCAAACCTCTCTATAAAAGGACACCAAAATCTCAACAAAGAGAACCAAATTACTCACTACAAAAATATACCATCATCCTCTCAAAAACCAAAAAAAAATAAAAATGGTTACTGCAATTTCATACGATCCTAGACAAAATCTTAACCTAAGAAAAGACCATGGAATTGTTGTAGTAGAAGAAATTGAAGGTCTTATAAAAGTTTACAACAATGGCCACATTGAAAGACCACCTATTGTCCCAAATGTCCCACCTAATTCCCTCTCTCATGTTACATCCAAAGATGTCATTTTTCACAATCCTACTAATTTATGGTCACGAATTTACCTCCCTACCAATAATAATCCTTCAAAGAAACTCCCTTTACTCATTTATTTTCATGGGGGCGGTTTTTCAGTAGGCTCCGCTGCATGGAAATGTTACCATGATTTTTTATCAACTCTTGCTTCGAAAATTGGAGTTGTAATTATGTCCGTTAACTATCGATTAGCACCCGAAAATCGTCTTCCTGCTGCTTACGACGATGGATTCCACGCTATAACATGGCTAAAAAATCAAGCTATGGTAAATTCCAAGGAACAAAATTGGTGGTCTAGTAAATGCAATTTTTCAAATATGTTCATTAGTGGTGACAGTGCTGGTGCTAATATTGCTTATCACGTAGCCATTAGGCTCAATTCGTATAATAATAATAATAATAATATCAAGCCTTTATGTCTCAAAGGGGTTATTTTAATCCAACCATTTTTCGGAGGTGAATCGCGAACTCAATCAGAGAAATATTCAGTTCAACCTCCATACTCTGCTTTGAATTTATCTGCTTCGGATACTTATTGGCGAATCGCGTTGCCAGTGGGCTCGAATCGTGATCATCCGTGGTGTAAGCCGAGATTGAGTAGTATGAAACTTCCATCTGTGTTGATGTGTATATCGGAGATGGACATACTCAAAGATAGAAATTTGGAAATGTGTGGTGTACTGGGAGATGCTGGAATTAAAGTGGAAAAACATGTTTATAAAGGTGTAGGACATGCATTTCATATTCTACATAATTCACCACTCTCTCAACCAAGAACTCAAGATATGATGTCTCATCTCAAGGCTTTTATCTATAATCAATAAGTTAAGTAGTAGTAAGTATTGATTGGATATGTAGAATCATCTGATTATTTAGTGTGCAAATTAATGTTGTGGATGCTACCGTGGCTTGGAATAATATGTATACTAGAGTGACATATCTATTTTTTTTTATCTAGGCTTCAGCGTAACTTTTTTTTGGTGTTTGATGTTTGTTCAAGTTTCTATAACTTGATTAACTCATTGTAATATTAAAATAGGATACCTTTTAGTAGGAAATTAGATCATTATGAATAATATATCAATCTCTCTGGTTTTTTTTTTGAAGTTTCTAAGTAGTATTTTTTATTAAAGGGTGCTGTTTATTTAGTGACATTTGACAGTTGAATGATGATTTATAGATAATATATTGTAAAGGTAATTATAGGCAATATAATGTAAAGGGGCGAATGAAGTTGCAATTGAGAAATTAAAAAAGAAAAGAGAAGAAGAACGAAGAGGGAAAGAATGGGGGATATATATTTGGTTCTTAAAATTTTGATTAAAATTGAAATTTCATGTTAACAAATTTTAATGAAAAAAACAATTAAATATTTTGAGTGATTTTCTGTGCAAAGAAGTCATAGTTGAGTGACTTTTGAGTTGAAAATAAAAGTTGAGTGACTTTCTGTGAAAAAATTGATAGTTGGGTAACCATCAAAGTTATTAACTCTTTTATATTACAGAAAATGGCCAAAAGCCCCCTAATCTATAGCCGGATTTCCAACTACACACTCATACTTTACGGGGTCCTACTATCCCCCTGAATTTTATAAAACTAAAATTATTACCTCCCTAAATGCTTACCTGGCAAAGTGAGTGTATTTCACTCTCTTTGAGAGAGTGAGCAGCAAAAACAATATTAAAATTTTGTTTTAAATATCTCTTTTCAATAAATATATTTATTTTAAATTATTTTTTGTTCTTATTTGTTTTTTTTCTTCTCCATAGCAATATAAATCAAATCTCTTCATCTTTCACCATCTCTAAGCCATTGTTGTCACCACCATCTCCACCGAGTTTATCATTATTGATTTCAAACAAACTTTCAAACTCATGTAAAACTCTTGCTAAACCATTCAACCTAAATCAATTGTAGATAAATTTACATATTCATATCACCCCAAAATACTTTAGATCTGATTTGAGAAAAATCAACTTGAATTTATAAATGGATAAGTAATTAGAGATAAAGGGATTAATTACAATATTTATTCAAAATTCAATTTTGTTATCTGACTTAAATTATGATTGAGAAAAAGTTATATTATCAAGACACATAATTACGTTGTACCTTTTTTAGTTGATCTGAAAAAGCTAAAACTATGAATTCTTTTATGACAACAAGGATAAGCGAAACACATTAACCATCTAAATTTGAGAGAGCATAAAAAAAAGAGCTATGTGTTGTAAAATGGGTGTCGATGGGGCATCCTCAATGTCCAAAGAAATGAACAACTTCAAGAATATGGTCCTAGTCACATTGCTTTCATCTCAAGAGAAATTCTAAATTCTCTCAAAAATTATGATTTGAAAATTTTATAGAGCAATTTTCACATATATCAAACATAAAAATCATATTTGTATGTTATAACTATAGTTTACATAATTGCGCTCCATAACAAATTTTATGTTTGTTATGAAGCTTTTGATTTGTATAATTCGCTAAATACATCCAGTTTTATACAAATTGTTCAGTTTTGTATAAATTCATTTATACATTGTAATTTGTATAATAAGATCTGTATTTATATAATTATAAGTGTATAGGACGAAAATATATATATTTATATTTGTATATACACTTTTCTCTCGCTTTATACAAACACAAATACATTTATACATTTTATACATTTGTATACCGAAAATGGATAATTGTTACATTATGACTTGTAATGCATCATTGGAATATGAGATGAGGTGATTATTGTTCATCACAGCTTCATATTACATGTATTTACTTGGACTTATTGAGTTCACATAGTTAACGCACTTGTCTTTCTCAGTGAAGTAAATGCAGGGTTTTTCTAGTCGAATGCGGAGCAGAGTGAGGCAATGGCTGCTGCCGAAAGGCGCTCAGTTGATGAGAGAGTGCAAAAGATCATTGATCTTAAAAATAAGGTCTGCACTTTAGTTAGGAGTATTTGTCGTGTGTGTGTTAATGCAATGAAATACTTATTATGAGCAAAAGGGGTGGGAGCTCCTAGGGAGGGTACGTAAAAAAAAAAAAAGATATGTTATGTTGGAATTAGTTACGATGAAATAAGTTATGTTGGAATTAGTTATGATAAGTTATGTTATGATGAGATTATTTTTTATTGAGTGTTTGATTTGTTGTATTTAGAACAATATATCTTGCATAAATTTAAGAACAAATTATTTGCTTACAAAAACAACCTTCATGAATGTGAAAAGTGATGTATAAAAATAATAAATTATTCCAGCCATGGTGGTATGGGCGGCCGGTGGTTAGGCAAGACCCCTACCTGTATATTAGCAACCAAAAGTCTATACAAAATTACAGGTTATATCCCAAATCCTAGTGGAGCATTTATCCGCAGTTCAATACACAAAAACTAATAAATTATATATTAAAACAATTCTTGCTAGTTCTAACTTTGAAGTTGGTCGTTCTGTCCTTATCAATCTTCAAATTCAAAAGTGCTCTCATCTTGATGAGAAGGTCGACAATATTGGTGAAGAAGCTTGTATCCTGGCCAAGTGTTGGATTTAGCAAGGTGGGAATGAAAAATAAAAAAAAGAAAATGGAAAGTGGAAGAACCAATGAAAGTGGGGGAACCAATTTTGGAGGGAAAATGAAAAGTCATCATTGTAAAAGTGCAAATGAAAGGTCAGTTTTACCATATTGGTAGAAGAAAGGAAATTGTTGTCCTTATATTAGGAAACACTTCCTTTAGTTCTTAAAGGGTTAAGAAGAAGGTGCCCCTCGCGCTGTCGTCGTCGCTCGGCCTCGGCTTCGGCTTCGGATTTGGCAAATGATTTGATTGATAATATTTTTGGACAAAATTTATTTAATCAATCTTGTTAAATCATTTTCTTTCTCTTATAAATTAATTCAGAATGTTAATTAAATAACAGAATTAATTTGGCGCAACTGAATTTATTTGAAATTCACGTGTAACAGTTACTTTTCCCAAATGGTAATCCTTCCGAAAAGTCGTTACTTTTCTCAAAGGACACAATGTTCTGGAAAAAACGGGTCTGAACAGATTTTTCTTAACAGACGCGTTCCTTGCTGCAAATGGGTATAAATAAGAGGTCTTTTTCATTTTTTCAAACACTGAAAATTTTCCTCTCTGCATACATTTTCTTACATAAATAAAATTGTCGATCGACTGAGTCTGTGTGTGCTCTTGTTGCTATTCTTGCGTTCGCTGAAGTTATTGAAGTTTGAGGTACCGCTACTTCTTTAACAGGTTAATCCGTTTTATCTTGGAAGGAATTAATCTGCAACCTCGGGTACAGTGAGGGGATTAAATTTCTTAAGGAAACACAGTGGTTTCTGTGGACTCAGATTAAAAATCATTCTGTCAATTTCATCTTTTTTCTGTTTCTGTATTTTTGACTAACCTGAATACAGGAGATAACAATCTTAAGAAATTTATTAGTTTCTGTATTTGAGGTTTTTGGAGATTAAAACCTTTATGGTTTTCTACTATGTTTGAATTTTTAAAATTCATTCGGTTAACGATTAAAAGAACATAAAAACTTTATCGTTAAATCAGAAACAGTCTGTGTAAGGATTTAGTCTTTATTGGTAATATTTCACATACTAAATTTTCTGTCATTTGTGACAGAAAAATGACTAATTCAAGTCAAGTAAATGCTGGAACAGTAAGTGCTGCAACAACATCAATTGCACACAATCGTTCAAATGTTGCCCTAGCACCGGCTGAGAAACCTGCAAAGTTTTCTGGAGTCGACTTCAAGAGATGACAACAAAAGATGTTCTTCTATCTGACTACGTTGAGTCTGCAGAGGTTCATTAATGAGAACGTTCCTGTTATGTCGGATGAAACTCCGCCTGAAGAACGATTCTTGGTAACATAAGCATGGACACATTCTGATTTTTTGTGTAAAAATTATATTCTAAGTGGCCTACAGGATGATCTGTACAATGTGTACAGTAATATGAAAACCTCAAAAGAACTCTGGGATGCTTTAGAAAAGAAGTACAAAACAGAGGATGCCGAAATGAAGAAGTTTATTGTGGCAAAGTTTCTGGACTATAAGATGATAGACAGTAAGACCGTCGTCACCCAAGTTCAAGAATTGCAAGTTATAATCCATAATCTCCTTGCTGAATGTATAAATTTATTTAATACCTATGTTGGAAATATTAAGTTTATTCTTAATACTCACATAATTTTTAATGTAAGATTGGTTGTGAATGATGTTTTTCAAGTGGTTGCAATTATTGAGAAGTTACCTCCATTGTGGAAGGACTTAAAAAACTACTAGAAACATAAACGCAAGGAGATGACTGTTGAAGATCTCATGGTAAGGCTGAGAATCGAAGAGGACAACAAGGCCGCAGAAAAGAGGTCGCGTAGTAATTCAACAATATCTGGAGTAAATATTGTTGAAGAAGATCCCACTAAATCAAAGAAAAGAAAGAAAACATCTGGTCCAAAGAGCAATCCTCCTAAGAAGAAATTCAATGGAAGTTGCTTCAACTGTGGCAAACGTGGTCATAAGGCTACTGAATGTAGGGGTCCCAAGAAGGATAAGAAGAAGGATCAAGCAAATTTGGCTGAATTCAAAGGAGAGATGGACGATCTTTGTGCAATGCTTTCAGAACGCAACTTGGTTGGAAATCCAAGAGAATGGTGGATAGATTCTGGTGCCTCATGCCATATTTGTGCCAACAAAGAATTATTTTCATCATATAGCACCTATAGACGAGAAGTTGTTTATGGCAAATTCCGTTGTTGCAAAGGTGGAAGGAACTGGCAAGATCCTCCTAAAGATGACATCAGGCAAGG